TTTTTTTTTTTTACAAGAAACATTATTTTCGCTATAATTTGACATCTATTGAAAAAAAACTACTGACAAAGAAAAACAAGGATAAAGCTTTAAGATAATGTGAAATCAAAAAACATTTTGTTATAATTTTTCGTCACCTCATAATATCTCCTCAGTTTTCAATTTCTATTCAAAGCACAATTAACACAATAAAAACCTACTTTATTCTTATTCTCTGCTTCCTTATCCACCAAATACTTTACAGTTTTAAATTTACCGTACCTCGCAGCTAAGTGCAGCGTTCTCCAATGAAACGAGAGAAATAAATGAGAAAAAGTTTTCGAAGAATTTGCGTTGACTTTTATTAGTGTTATTTTCTTGTAAAATTACTTTTCGCTGCAGTTGATAAAGCTGACTTCAATAAATTCTGAATTTTAAACAGGAGAATTAAAAATGTGTCAGTTTTGTATTACTGAAAAAGGCAGCATATTGGTGAGGAATTGTGCTTTTATAATTTTTTATTGTCGACATTTGCTAGATCAGTGATAAATTTTTAGACTTGTATATTAGTCTACTTTACTGATCCTGGGTACTAACACTCTTCATTTTAAAACGATGTTGCAATATAATAGCGACAAGGTGACAGCGTTTATGGGGTATTGTGAAGAGACTTTTTTGACTAAAAGTTTTTGATTATCAGATAAATTGGTTTAGAAATAACAGCTTTAAATGCAATTAAAAATTTTGTCAACGCTCAAAACTTTTTTGGCTTGCTGTTTTCAAGTAAGCAGTTTAATTTACATACAATTCTTTGCAGCACTCATAAAACGTTTCACAGTGATATTAAGTAACTAGTTTTTTGACGCTTTTTATACCATATGTTTGCAAAAGTAAATGCAAATTTACATGTTACTTTGCTCAACCGCACCTATCAAGTAGACTTTTCTTCTATTGCTTTTGAAACGTCTCATTTAACGATCAATACGTGTAATCTGCGTGTTATCTTTAGTTCATTTTAAAAGTCAGTCGCAACCAATTTTATTTTATTAAATTTGTTTTCAACTTTCTGTTTAAATTTTTATTTTGTTTTTTTCACTTCCTGATCAGTAATAATTCTATATAATGTTCAAAATTACTTATTTTAACAGGTCTATTGACTTTTCGGGCTTTTTTAGATAGAAGAGAATGTAAATTGGCAACTTTGACTTCACCGAGAGTTGGATAAAATAAAAAAAAAAATGCCTTTAATAAAAATAGTATTTCTTTCTACAGAATATGGTCCTTTTTTGAGTGTACATTAGAATAATCGTTAACTTAAATTTCGAAGAGAATAACATTATTCAGATTGCGCAGATCAAATACTGCTGCGACCAATAAATTTGCTCACTAAAAAGAGAAAAAAAAACCGTTTTACAAGTAACCATATGATTATTCTTTTTATATTCAGAGCTTTCTTCAAGTGAAGACCAACACTCCATTAAAAAAAGTAATATAGAAGTACAATTCTAATGTACTGATCTTGAAAAAATAAATTTTCAGCAGTCGTTTACTAAACATTCTGCTCTTTATTTGCAATATTTTTTTATTTTTTAAATCCTGTTTAATGCGCAATTTTCTGATAAAGTGCTTACCTCAAAGTTGTCTTTTTGATTCAGATCTGCTCCTTTATTCACCAAATACTTTACGATATCAAAATTCCGGTGCCACACTGCGAAATGTAATGCTGTTCTCTAAAATGAAAAACAAATCTTCCAGACAGTAAATATACTGAAAAAAATTTTAGCAGAGTAGTTGAGTAAAGCAGTAATTTTCAGCTTACTTTTTTCTTCTGGAAAAAAACGGTTTTTTTTCAACTGTAGTTTTCAGAACACCTTAACAGTTTAGTAGTCGAAAATAATGCCACATTATTCTAAAGAGTCGTCAAGAAATTTACCAGATTGAAAAATTTGAATTTTTAAATGAAATTTGCTTTACAGTTGCAACTCTCGTATAGCTTTTTAATTACAAACTTTTCACCAAAAGTTGACAAAAACGAAAAATGTCAAAAGCAAAAGGTTTTTTTTGAAAATTGTTTTTCAGCAAGGAATAGAAGCAATAATAGTATCGTTGGTTTGTTTTTTTATCTTTATTTCTGCTGCTGTTTGTTGGTTTGAATCGATAACATAAAATTTACGGTCTAAACTTTTTAAACTACTGCCTGCCTTCCAATAAAGGTTTTATACAAGCGTCAAGGCACTGATTACAGCAAAGCTGTTTATTTACATAAAGAAGAGAATTAAATTTAATAAAACTTACTTCAAAAAGTACTTTATTAAATTGTGATTAGAAGGATTAAAGTTAAAAGACAGCCTGACCTTTACAAAGTGGTTAGGTAGCATTCAACTATTACATTATAAAAAATTTCAAATCATTATTCACAACAGAATTCAGTCTCAATTATTTTTTCTGAATAAATTCCTTGAAATCGTTTATTTCTTGAAATCTCAAGAAGTGTTTTACTGCGTGAAATATGTAAATTCAAGTATAGATTACACAATATAATACCACAGCTTCTACTTCCAAATTTTTTTTTCAAAACGTTAGTCCTTATTTACAAACTTGATAAATAGTATGAAGTGTTTGTCACAAAAAATACTTGAGATTTGTTACAGAAAACCTGGAAGTTTAAACCAGATAAAATCTTGTTGATGTATTGGTTCACCAGAGAAAAGGTAGTAGGTGTTCCAAATTTTAGGTTCTCTAATGCAGGCTACAAGTGATATCTAAAACAAAAATCTAACGTCACTTCAAAGCGAGAAAGTCACTTAGTCTCATTTCCAACACTTGGTCAAAAGAGACAACTCCGCTGTAGGCATGGAAAAGTGTAACAGATCTTTAGCAAAACCGTACTCCATTCTTGTCTACGGCATTAACATTCGCTCCATTTAGTATCAGAAACTCCACAACAGCATGGTGACCGTTCTTTGAAGCAGTGTGTAACAAAGTCTCCTGTAATAATGCCCTGCAGTTTCCTGCAGATATTCTGACTATTAAGTTTGAATTACTTTGCTTTATCCCGTTTCCACTAAAGTGCACAGTAATAACTTTGTGGCAGTGCGTTTACTGCAACACTGTTTCTGTACTTGGTTATCTTAATTGAGCAACCATTTATAAAAAATATTACCTCATCATCACTCCCCGCATTTACGTCTCCTCCATTTTCAATCAAGAACTCCGAAATCTCTCTGTGTCCCAGTAGTACTGCCACGTACAGCGGTGTGTACTGAAGCAAAAAAGCTAAGGTCTTTAAAATAAACCGAGAGTTGTTTATACATCTTTTGCTTTTACACGTATTAATAAAAAGCACTTGAGCCATTAGCGTGAAAAACCGAAATATACTTTGAGCAGTGTCTTACCCCGTTTTTATTTTTAAGGTTGACATTCGCTCCATTACGTACTAGGAACTTTACGACAGTATCATGGCCACTTTTTGAAGCAATATGTAGCAACGTCTATTAAAATAATTCTCTAGAATTTTTGGTAAAATCTGGCATCTGGTAAGCGCTAAGTTTAAATTACCGTGCTTTGTTCTGTTTCTATAAAAGTGAACAGCAACATTTTTTACGGCAATGAGTTTACTGTGACACTGGCTGTGTATCTGGTTATCTTAAATGAACAATCATCTATAGAAAGTATTACCTCGTCATCGTTCCTCGCATTCCCGTCTCCTCCATTTTTGATCAAATACTCCGCAATCTCACTCTGTCCCATGAGAATTGCCACATACAGCGGTGTGTACTAAAATAAAAAGGCTACAATCTTTAAAATGAACCAGTAGTTGTTTATATATTCTCAACTTTCATACGTATTGATAAAAAGCACTTGAGCCATCAGCGTAAAAACCACAATAGACTTTGAGCAGTGCCTTACCCCGTTTTTATCCTTACGGTTGACATTTGCTCCATTTCGTACTAGGAACTTTACGACAGTATCATGGCCACTTTTTGAAGCAATATGTAACAGCGTCTCCTATAATAATTCTTTAGAATTTTCGGTAACATTTAATAAATGCTGAGTTTAAACTACCATGTTTCTATTTCTACTGAAGTGGACAGTAACATTTTTTATGGCAATGCGTTTACCGTGACACTGTCTGTGTATCTGGTTATGTTAACTGAACAATCATCTATAAAAAGTATTACCTCATCATCGTTCGTCGCATTCACGTCTCCTCCATTTTCGATCAAAAACTTTGCAATCTCACTCTGTCCCATTAGAACTGCCACATACAGCGGTGTGTACTGAAACAAAAAAGCTACAATCTTCAAGATAAACCAGAAGTCGCTTATATATTCTCAACTTCTATACGTATTGATAAAAGCATTCGAACCGTCAGCGTAAAAAAAGCGCAGCAAACTTTAAGCAACGTCTCACCCCGTTTTTATCTTCATGGTTGACATGCGCTCCATTTTGAACTAGAAACTTTGCAACAGCATGGTGACCATTCTTTGATGCGGCATGCAGTAGGCTTTCCTAGAATCACCGTTCATGATTTACAACGCTCAGTCTCAGCTAGATTTCAATTACTATGTTTTCGTCTACTTTTGCAGAAAGCACAGCACTTTTTATCACAAGTTTTAGAACTCTATCGTCTCCTGTCATCTTCTTTGTACAATTATAAGTGAAAGTTATTACTTCATCGTTATTTCTTATGTTCACGTCGCCTCCTCTTTTTATCAGATAATTTCCGACCTCGTTCTGTTTTCGGAAGGCACTGACATACAGTGGTGTAAACTGAAACAGAATGATTTCTTTAAAAAGACTGAAAATTCAACAACGTTACTGGGTGAGAAGGAGCAACCTAGCTGCCAGCTCAGGCAAATGCCACAGATCCTTAACAACATCTTACCCCGTTCCTGTCTGTTTCATTGATACTTGCTCCTTTTTCTACTAGGAACTTGGCGACGGCGCTGTGGCCATTCTTTGCAGCAATATGTAGCAAGGTCTCCTAAAGGTGCTCTTCATAATCTTTTATAAAACTCAGTAACAGGTCGTTTAAATCATTACATTTTTGTTTACTTCCGCCAAAATACGTAATATTGCGTTTGTTATGGCAGTGCAAAGTTTTAAAAAAACGTAAAAATTTTTACTTTGTCACGGTTTCTCAGGTTCACGTCGCCTCCGTTTTCAACTATATAATTCCCTATCTCGTTGTGTTTTTTGAGAGCTGCGATATATAGTGGTGTAAACTAAATTTTAAGAGTTAAAAGCTCACAGGTCTTTAACGGCAGTGTCAATAAGCTTTATTTCTGTAGTTGGTTAAAGAAGAACAATTTTGCTGACAGTACGAGAAATTGCAGCAGATTTAGATTGAGATTATACTTCATTCTTGTCTACTGCATTGACATTTGCTCCAGATGTTACTAAAAACTTTGCAACAGTATCGTGGCCATTTTTCAAAGCGACGTGTAACAAAGTTTCCTGAAACTACCCTTTATAGCCCTCAGTAACATTCTGTGATTGATGTGTCTAAATTGACATTTTCTGGTTTCCTTCTACTTACCTTATCTTTGTTCTTAAAATTTAGATCACTTCCTTTCTCAGTTAGATAATTCCCTATTTCGTTGTGTCCTCCAAGTGCTGCAGCATACAGTGGTGTGAGCTGCAATAAAATTTTACCAAATAAGGACCTGTATGTAAAGAAGAGCGACCCAAAGAATTTTAAAATGCATCTTACCCCGCCCTTGTTCGTGCTATTGACATCGGCCCCATTGTCTACGAGAAACTGTGCAACATTGTCATGGCCATTCTTTGCGGAAACGTATAGCAAGGTCTCCTACAAGTTATCACTTTCACTGACAATCTGTGGTAGCTGAATAGAAATTATCATGTTTTAATTTTTTTCTGTTATAATCGGCTTTCGTTAATTTTAGCATAATAGGTATGTATCTTTAACAGGGGACCCTGTTGCCTATTATCACGTCGCTCGTATAGTCTTGTTTGTGCAGCTTTACCTCATTGTAATTTTTTGCATTTAAATCCGCTCCTTTTTCAATTAGATGTTTCGCGATCTTATAGTGTCCTTTCAAAGATGCGATGTACAATGGTGTTATCTAGAAAAATAGCAGTAAATTAGATGTTATAAACGTGAAATTTGAAATCTGCTTCTAGAATTTCGACGCAGGATAGGAACTGTTCAATAGTTTTTATGACTTTAGTAGATTTTTAGTAATTTCTCACCCCATCCTTGTTTTTTGCATTGACATTCGCTTGATTCTCTAATAAAAAGTTTACAACAATATCGTGACCATTCTTTACAGCGGTGTGTAGTAGAGTTTCCTAGAATAATTTTTCAGTTTTATAAGCGTATTTGGTGAAAAACCAGTTTGATTATGGTAGTCCATTCCGTTTCTATCGAGTTAGATGGCATAATATTGGGAACCAGGGATCAAGTTCAATGTAGATGCTCTTGCTTGACGCCCTCTTATTTCTAACTTTTTCATTAGTGTTTACCTCGTCGCCCGCCGCATTGACATCGCTTCCTTTAGTGAGTAGATATGTGACCAACTGTTGGTGCCCTTCCAGGACTGCAGCGTAAAGCGGTGTGAACTGAAAAAGGAGAGTTATTTTTCTCTGGTGTTTCTTCAGATTCTCTTCAAATCAAAGTGTGATAGTAGTGCGTTTGGTGGTCTGTGCTTTCGTTAGCTTTTTACGGTGTTGACTTATCCCTTTTCCACCCTTCTTATTGGTTTTTTCGCGTCTTCTGTGCAGAGAGAATCCTTCAGCCCTCAGAAATGGCGAGGATGGCTGTAAGTCGCTTTGCGTTCCTTCAGTTACTTCATATTGTATATACTCAATGAGAAATGTTTTTGTTATTTTTTTTACCCCATTTTCACTTTTGGCATTGACATTTGCTCCTTTGTTTATCAGATATTTAACGACACTAATATGGTTGGATTTTGCGGCAAGGTGCAGTGATGTCTGCTGAAATGATCGGTAATTTATTTCAGATAATTAGCTTATAAAATAGTAATGGCATCGGTAGTTATTATGGCAGACTAAACATTTTCAACGCTTAGACTTTTTTCAGTTAACCGTGTTTAAAGACGGTAGAAAGAAAAAAGGAAAAAGAAAAAAAAAGAAAGAAAAAAAGTTTGCGGCTGGTAATGGTTATAAAGTGGTTTTGCCAAAAAAAAAAACTGAATTTTTTTTCAGAGCTCAACCTTGCTTTCTCCTTCATCATTGATATTATTGGTCCTTTCTGTCAAGTATCTGACGACGTTGACCATGCCATTTCTGGACGCAATATGCAAAGCTGTCATCTGAAGGTGGCAAACATATTCTTTAAAATTGGGTACAATGGAAAAAGAAATGTGAAATTTGTTTTGAATCTTTAAATTTATTTTGTAATAGACGGTGAAAGTCAATGGTATCCTCGAAGAAATACGCCAAATTTCCACATTCTCCACCATTTTGGACTAGGCAGTATTTAGGTGAAGGTAAAGGTAATGTATTCCAAGCGTAATCGATTTCATAAAAAGCTGCTTTTACTGGTTTTCATCACTTATTTTTTTGCGGTCGAGAGAAAACTAATCATTTAGCAGTTGTTTACTTCAGTTATGGTTTTTATGTTCTGTAGACTAAAAATAATGGTTTTTTTTATTGCGTAACACCTCGTTTTTTCATTTCCCGCGTGAAATTTACAAAAAACTTATTATTGCTTTTGCGGATGTATATTAATGATATTTGACGCATTGTCTTTCTGCTTTGTTGAAACTTTTTGTAAACCAACTGCAGCTTCGTCGTTCAACACGACCAGATTTTGCACAATGAGAAGAGCTATACGAACAATCTTCCCACTGACATACTTTTACAGCGCCATAAATGCTTCTGCTCATTCCCTTTTTGCGCACAGAACTGCAGTCTTTAGTTCACAAGACAGCAAACGTCATTTATAAAAAGCGTGATAGAGTAATTTTTATTAAGAGATTATTAAGAGACTTTTTAAAACAGTTTTATCTATACTTTACCCGCTCTTTGTTCTTCATGTCAACCTTGGCTCCGCTTTTCACTAGATGTCTCACTACATTAACCCTGTCAGTGTTTGAAGCGATGTGTAGTGGTGTATCCTGAAGTGGAACTAGACGTTTTTTTAGGGATGACTAGTAGTAAATTTCTTATTCAATTTTTTCAAAGTGAACCATCCAAAATTAAGTACAATGGTCAAGATTAGTGAAATATTCTGTAGTCTACATCTGAATCGTTTTCTGAGCAAAGGTGATTGCTACTTTATTGTTGAGAGATAAAATTTGTTTTATTTTCCTAACAACTGATCTTAAATAGGGGCTAGATTTAGTAGAATTACGAGAACATTTGTCAGTCATCTAGTAGTGCGCACTTTTCGCCAAGAAACTTTAGGAGAATAATGATACTGACCACTTTTTTAGACGGTCAATGCAGGTCTTAAATTGAAGCAATTTATGACTTTTTGCTCTTCGCAAGTCATCAGCTTCGTCATCAATGTGTTATCATAAAAGATTTTCCTAAACTTTGATGGTTTTTCTGATGACACTTACCCCGTTTTTATTAATTCTGTTAGTGTCTGCAGCATTAACAATTAAAAGTTTCATGATATCAATATGTCCGTTATATGATGCCGTCGATAGCGGTGTCCACTGAAATGCGCAGTTTATTTGAGAAAGACCATGAAAAAGTGCCGCCATTGACTGTTACTTTCTGCGTGATTTGTATGTGAGAAAAGCCTTTCTGTTACAGTGAATATTTGATAATTTTTCAAGGCACTCTGCATAGTCTGTTTTGTAAAAAACTTCACCCAAAAATTTTTACTGTTTTTCAAACAAACCAAAAGATTCCTTTTCGTTATTTAACTTTTTAGTGAACCTTTTATTATTTTATTTATTAACTTATAAATAAATCTTGAATAGAAATAAAGAATTTCCTCCAAATCTAATCTTACCCCATCATTACTCTCTGCATTGACGTCTGCTCCAGCAGTAATCAAGCATCTGACAACGTCCATGTAACCATTTTGGGACGCGACGATCAACGAAGTCCACTAAAAATAGAACGCAGACAACTTAGACCTGGTTCAAGAGCAAAGCTATGTGCACTATGCACAAGATCAACCTCAATAACATAGACTACTTAGATTACTCATTGACATAAAATACAATATTTGTGTCAAAAGTTTTTAACAAAACCATACTCCATCTTCTCGCTTTACATTGACGTCGACTCCAAGTTCAAGAAAATATTTTACAACATTAACGTGGCCATAATCAGAAGCAATATACAACGGTGTTTTCTAAAGTAAAAAAAATTGAATGGTCTTTAAGGGTTTCACAGCTTTTAATTTACAAAATCGAAATTTAAAAGATTTTAATGTTATTATTCCGATTAAAATTCAAGCATTTTTAAATGTACTTCAATTCAAAAAATATTGTTAATTAGAAACTTTATTTGGCAAGGCAAAGTGTTATTCTTATTTTACTGTAATCTTAAGCGGCGAAAAGATGTGTGAGTAACTTTTAATTAAGTTTTACAGTTAAATATTTCGATGTATTTCAATACAGTGTTACCCCATTGTTGCACTTTGCATCAACTTTAGCACCGTGTTCGGTTAAATATTTTATAAGGTTTAACTGTCCGTTCTGAGAGGCGACCATCAACGGAGTCCACTTAAATAAACCAAAAGGAAAAACTTTCAGTTGTTACACTTAATTAATTAGTTGGTGTTTCAAAATAGATTAAAAATTTAATGCTGGAAATTCAGAACTTATCGTCCAATATAAAAGGTATCTTAAAGCTTGAGATTTTAGTTTTGAAAAAGAACTTTTTGGGGATTATGAAACAATTCCCTCGCTATAATGCTTCATCAGTGCTTACTCCATGCATGGTTCTTGCACTTATTTTACTTCCTTTCTGAATAAGATAATCCACAACGCTTACGTGACCCTTTTCGCAAGCAGCCCACAGCGGTGATCTCTGAAATCCCATTAAGAAAATGTGAAGCAGAACTTGACGATCAACAAAGCGATATATTTTTCCAACTAAATGAAAACGTGTTAAGACAAAGCTTAGGTGCTATTTAAAGATATTTAAAGCTTTTATTCACGTTCTTCTAAGTTCAAAAGCTATGAGGCAGAAAATGCATGCAAGCCTATTTTGAAGCTGCTGAGAACAATTTGTAGACTTCCTTTTCACCTATACTCAACTTTTACTGCGTAGAGCAAATTTGTCTTCTACAAGCATAGTGGAAGTCCAAAAATGTTTACCTAGTCATCAAAGACAAGGAAGCACTGAGAAAGAATTTTTTCGCAAGAGTTTTAATGTATGATGAAGCAACCAGAGAAAATTTAGAGAGGTAAGTCAGTCCAATAATGCTGAAGATATAAAGAAAAACAACTCAGTTATTTATCTAAATTTGGAGGAATTTTCCAAAATTTTATAGTTAGTAGTCCCAAACTTTTGCAGAATTTGATGTAGTGTGGAAACCGAAACGAGAAAGTTACACAGAACAAAAGCCTGACTTCTACTTTTTAAGCCTTTAATTGTTTTCAATAAAAGATGTCAAACGTTTACTTTATTGAAATGTTCTGAACAAAATTCTGCTCCTTCCTCCAAAAGACATTCAATCGCTTCAATACGGCCACTTCTTGCAGCAATAGTCAATAACGCGCACTAAAATGCAGCTAGTTAGAAAGGTTTATTATAACAAAACGAGGTTACAGAAGTAAAACTGTTGCCCTTTCGTAATTCAAGCCGTCTTTTAGATGGCACTGGTCAGCTTGCTTCTTTATTTCATGCTAAAAAATACTCTAAAAACGCTTGGCTTCTGTTCGTCAAACATAAATAGTTATCTAAGATGTGCAAAAAATAAGCGGGACAGCTCAGTTTCACAATAAACAGAGTCCGGCGAAGAATGTGGGCCATTCGCGAAAAATAGGGAATTTTGAACGTATAGAAAAAGGAATCTAAAAGGAAGCACTAGAATGCTGTGAAGACTGTTGTAATTCTCAGTAGTAAATTACCATATCGTTAGCAGCTGTCTTAATGGGTGTTTCTTTCCTCAGCAAATACCTTAGAGTCCCGACATCGCCACGTTGTGATGCATCCATTACAAGTGTCCACTGAAGAAAAAATTGGGCTGTTTTATAGCACACATTAAGCAAACAACTGTTGAAATTTTGGATGCAACTATTCAGTCATCGATTTGTTACAGAAAAGCTTAAGCAGTACAAAAAAAAAAATACTCCAACTTAAATCTTTTTTTTTTCTTGTATTAATTTTGTAACTTTTCGCATAGAAAGCGTAATCTTTTCAGAGAAAAAACAGAGCTTTGAAGCGGAATAAAGATTGAAGACACTGTCGCCTTGAAATTTCTTCACATTAGAGACCAAAACATGAAAATATCAGTGAAATGGTCATTTGAATGTTAAATTTTTTAATTTTTTCTTCCAAAGTTTGCCTTATCTTGTTTTTTCAAATTTATATCGGACCAAATACTCAACAAATATTTCGCAACGTCAATGTGGCCATTTTGGTATGCGACGATCACAGATTGTAACTGAAACTATGAAGATACCATATTATATAATTCAAATTTCATTTGCTATCTCTGCTATCCAATTAGAAAAAAATTTCAAAAAAAACTCATGTTAGGTTTTCAAAATCCTCAAGTTGGCTCATAAAAGGTATACCCCGCAGTAGTTTTGATCAACATCTGCCCCGCTTTCAACCAAACACCTTACGACGTTGAAATGGCCGTTTTGAGATGCCACATATAGCGATAATTGCTAAAATAAGGAAAACTTTAAAGCTTTGTAGTAGAAAGTTTAAAACACAACTCGCATTCAGAGCAATCTGTATTGTAAAGCTCCAACCAATAAAACTTCCTGCTTAGAAGCAGAGGAAATGCCCTTAACTTTCAGCTATAATTCGAGCGAACTTTTTGCTCTAATGGTGTTTCAAGAAAGATATAGCCCATTCTAAAAGAGGAGAGAAAGATGGAAAAAGCAAAAAACTTTAAAGCGGGCATAAGGAAGCTTTGTTAATACTGCTTCGATCCGTGAAAATAATTGTTTCTTACACGATTCAGCATTAATAATTTCTAAATGAAATCAGGTTGAAAAATTGTTTGGGTCGTATTAACGGTCCTGGTACATAATTACCTCGTTGTCGTCCTTCGAATTGACGTCGGCACCTCTTTTTATTAACTCTTTTACAATATTAATTTGCCCATTTTGAGAAGCTTTGATCAGCAAGTTTTGCTAAAAGATAACACCTTGATAATTTTCACGAGTAAAACCAAGGAGTTTTTAACTTTTTGTCCGCGTCAGATTATCCTGTTTTCATATTGAATGAGAAAATTTGATCTATCCCACACTGCAAATCGATAAAAAACAGTATCCACCTGCTACCGTTATACACTGATGAATAATTTGAAAAAACTTTGTTTCTTCTTGAAGAACCATTACTTTTTTCCTCAGCCAGTACGCCATAATCTTGAGGCGCCTTTTCTTATCTGCCTTCATTAACTTTTTTACTTAGTTTTTTCATCGATAATTTCATAAACATAAAATGGTGTGCCGTCAAATGTTTCCCAATTTACGCTTTACGAGGACTAACCAAGATTTTCTGAGTTGCTTCGGCAAAAGTAGAAGAATTCCGATCTAAAAGACTCAAAATAGCACTCATTTTTCCCTCTTCCGCATAAGCCAGCAGCTTGCCAGTGTTGAAGCACTCCATCTGTAAACATAGCCTAAAATTGGATTCTCTCCGTTATTTCAAAAGTAAAAATGTTTTGAAAAAACGCCTTTTGCTATAATTAGTCCACTTCATTCTCACTTTTTATAAAGTCATCTTCGCTGTAATGGAAAAATCATAACTTTTCGATTTCAAAATACGTTCCAAAATAATTTCTTAATGCAAAATCGTCTCTCAGTTCCGGAAGAGTTAATTTGACAGACACACAGGAAAGATATCTGATTTCAAATATTTGGTCCATTCTACGCTCCCTAATAGGCCTCTTCCAAAACGAAATTAGAAATAACTAGCATCAAAAAATTTAGAAGAAAGAGTATATCAGAGGGTCAGATAGAGATCTGCAAAAACCAGTAGCGTTTGAATTGCTTCCTCAGGTCTGATAACTGAAAGAGTTTTTCTGGAAAGAACTCAACGATGTTGAAAACAAATAAGATGAGGATAGTGAAAGTGCCGACGAAACAGCTCCGTAATACAATGCAACAATAAAACAGTACCATCTTTTTCACTGCAGTTTTATTCAAATCATTTTGATAGGCGGAAAAATTGTGATTGACAAACACTTTTATTATTACTTTTATCATTTATCATCATTACATTACTTTATCATTATTTTTACTCTCTTCTACCTACCTTACTAGTCCATTTATTTTGCAGTTATAGTCATCTGTTGTTAAATCGTCAACCTTAAAATTAATGTAGCTGCAGCTACGTCGTTATCAGTAATCTTTATTTACCTCTGTTTTTTATACTATGTGCCGTTTAAAACTTACGCATCGTAACAACACATCAGGCCGCAAACAAACCTTTAATTCCTGAGACTACTTCAAAAAGCATTCATCAAAAATTATTTCGTAGTAGGAAAGCAAGAATCATTAATGAATTCTTTTTTAAAGTACTTGAAAACTTGGCTTTTTAGATTACATAGGCCAAGAATTAGGCTGTCACTTGGCCATTGTAATATTACAAATAATGAGAAGTGAGTTTCACACAGGTGAGAGTACGACTTAGAGCAAAAGAATACGTTTCTTCGGCATTGGAATAACCGTCATTCAAAGATGAACTTTACTTTTAATAATGTAAAACTAACCTACTCTTTTTTTGATTTCTTTTCAATTACTGTTGCGGGGAAAAAATTAAAATATTTAAAGTTAAAAAACTGTAGGTGCAATTTCCTTTGAAAACTCCAAAGCGACATTTCAATCAGGCCCCAAATTTCGTAAACATATATCATAGGTAGCTTTTCATTTTCTTCTCAGATAATCCGATTATGTATTTCATTAGGCTACTTTCATTTATATTTCCACAAATTTTGCCATTTCTCGTTTTTTCCTGTCCTGCTCGCTACTCATAGGTGCATCAGCTACAGAAACTATAGTGAGGTGT